GTTGCCGCCCTAGCCCCCCTTTTTTTTCCCACGTGCATCGTTGCTGCTCGCTAAGCCGCTGCCCGATGATGTGTAGCTTGTTAGATTCCCTCAACATATCAGTCATAGAACTGATGAGAGGATGTGTAGCTTGTTAGATTCCCTCGACATTTCAGTCCTAGAACTGATGAGAGGAAGTGTATATCTCACGGTGTTGAGATATATCACTTTCGATTCTTATTTCCTTTAAGAAACAAGAATTTAGTTGAGATCTTACTCTTGTTGTGCAGCAGAAGTGCTGCCGAAATTTTCACTGCGCACAACAAGGGTTCGAAGATAAGAGCCTGATCGATGGAGGAGATCATCAAGAAGTTGAACCCCACGGAGGTCTCAACTTTGATGCAATTGATGAAGTTGTCAGTTGGTGAGAGCGCGATAAGGCCATTGGCGAAGTTGGAATTTCCACCCATCGATCTGAAGCTTGATGGACAGGTTACTTACCTGAGCTGGTGACGATAGGTGAGATATACCCTTGCAAGGAGGAATCTGGAGGGTTACCTGACAGGAGATAAGACAGAGCCGGCTGAGGGCTCAGTGGGAAGAGATGAGTGGAAGTCCACTCATATGTTGGTGTACATCTGGCTCAACTCATTGGTCCAGTCGATCGTCGCCACAGTAGATGGCATCGGGAAGGTGAAGGATGTTTGGGAGAAGTTGAGGAGGACCTATGATGGGGTGGAGAATAACCTGAGGGTGTTCCAGATCAAGGGAGAGATCGACACCACAGTCCAGGGAGAGGACCGTACAGGAGTATGCCACAGAGCTGGAGCATCTGTGGCTAGATTATGATCACTTGTCAATTCAGACGAGCTGCAAAGACCCGGAGTGTAAGGAGCGAGAGGCCTTTCTACAGGAAAGGACTATGGTGTTTCTCAAGGGGTTGGCATCAGAGTTTGCTCAGAGGATTGCGTTGCTGCTAGCTCAGCCGAAGATTCCCACACTTGAGGAGACAGTCTCGACCATGATCCAAGAGGAGACTCGCATTAAGCTACAAGCAGGGACAAGTGGACTTCCTGTAGTGAAGTCAGCACTGGCGACCTCTAACTCTGGCAACACTGGATTCAAGGGGGAGACTCGGCAGTGCTACAACTACGGTGAAATGGGTCATCTAAGGCATGCTTGTACCAAAACACCCAAAGAAGGATATTCGGATGGACGTGGACAGTTCGGAGGTCATGACCGTGGCCGTGGGGGTCGACGAGGTGGAAGAGGAGCAGACAACCGGGCGAATATAATAGTAACAGAGGGAGAGGAAGCATCTGAGGTGGTCTTTACTGAGGAGGATCATGCGCTCCTGGAGATACTCAGGAGGAAGCAGAGAGTAGCAGGAGATGGAGACAGAAGGAGTGTGACTGAGGAGGCATCCACTTCGTTCTTCGCCAGAGGCAACACTGCTACTTATGCTCATCCAACCAAGGTACTGATAACATATATGCTCTTGCTTCTATGTCTCCCGATAGATCATCAGAATGGATAGTCGACTCTGGTGCGTCTCGACATGTAACAGGTAATGCTAGTGAGTTCTCATCATATACTCACCTAGCATCGGCTGATAGTATTCAAACAGCTGATGGTACGTTTCAGCCAGTGGTTGGTAAGGGTACGATCGATTGTACAGGTTCTGTAACTTTGTCCAATGTTTTACATGCTCCTTCCTTTCCAGTCAATTTTTTGTTCATTAGTGCTATCATACTCCAACTAAAATGCATTGTTTCTTTTGATATTCCCAATGTGATCTTTCAGGAAAAGGGGACAGGACGGAGACTTGGGACTGACACGTGGAGTAGTGGACTGTGGTACCTGGATCGTGAAGGACTGAACTTAGCATTAGTGTCTATGATAGAGAAAGCAGGAGTAGGATCTGAGATAAGTGTTGAGAGTGTGATGTTTCATCACCAGCGCTTGGGACACTCATCCTTTAGTGTTTTAAGTAGGTTGTATCCATCTTTATTTGAGAAAGAAAATAAACAGAAACTTGTGTGCGATGCATGTGAGTTTGGAAAGCTTACTAGAAGCTCTTATGTTAGTTCTGGTCATAGAAGTTCTCGTGCATTTGACCTGATATATTTAGATATTTGTGGGCTTTGTTCCACAAGTTCTATAAATGGATACAAGTATTTTGTTACATTTATTGATTGTTTTTCTCGCGTTACTTGGTTATACTTGATAAAAAATAAGAGTGAAGTGTTTGGTTACTTCCAAGACTTTCATAGGTATGTTCAGACTCAATACGAAACAGTGGTGAAAGTATTAAGGTCTGATAATGGGATAGTATACCAACAGAGTGCTTGGGGAATACTTATCAGCTCAAGGAATACAACACCAGACTATATATCCATACACACCAGCTCAGAATGGGATAGTGAAAAGGAAGAACAGACATCTTTTAGAGGTGGCTAGAAGCATGATGATCTCCATGAATGTCCCAGAAACATTATGGGGGCAAGCAGTGTTGACCACAACTCAGCTGATCAACAGAATGCCCTCGAGAGTATTGGATTGGAAATCTCCGTGTGAGACGTTGAAGAAAGATAATGGTGGGATTCTTCCACTAAAAGTGTTTGACTGTGTGTGTTTTGTGAAGGACAACAGGCCATCCGTCGGGAAGCTTACCCCTAGAACAGTGAAGTGCATCTTTGTGGGATACTCTGCTACTCAGAAAGGATATGTCTACTGGAGCCTAGTGGAGAAAAGGCTGTTTGTGAGTATGAATGTGCACTTTCAAGAACTCGAGCCATATTACACCCGGGAGGTAACTTCATCCGTTGGTGACTCGCCCGATACTGGAAGTATGAGACAAGAAGGGGAGAATGGTGAGAGGCAGGTGAACAATGTGGAGAAATCGATTTCTGTATCGATTATTTGGGAGAGAGAATTGGTTGAGGAGCAGGAGAATGAAAAAGAAGAAGGGAATAAGACAAGAGGTGTTAGGCCAACGGTTTAGGGGAAGCTACTTACCTATAGTAGGAAGGGGAAGCAAATTACGAAAACAGTACCTACAGTGTCACTGGTGCCAAGTCTCGTACCAACGCCTGCCCCGACTCCTGAGACACCTTCACCACCATCAGATTCCTCCCAAGGTGATATCATTCCTCTCCTTAATCCTCTCACACCAATGTCAGTACGGAGGACTACTCGCAGCAATACGAAAAATCCTCCCGATAGATATGGTTGGGATCTTGCTCCGTTTGTATCATATTCTAACATCTCTACTACACATGGAGCATTCATTTCATCATTGGACTCTGTTACTGTACATAATAATTGACAGGTTGCTAAGAATGACCCAAAGTAAAAAACGGCTATGCACGAGGAGCTAGGGGCTCTTGAGAAGAACCATACTTGGGAGTTAGTAAAACTACCAGAAAGAAAGAGAGCAGTTGGATGCAAATGAGTCTTCACTGTGAAGCAGAATCCAGATGGACAGGTTGAGCGCTACAAGGCTCGTCTGGTAGCAAAAGGGTACAGTCAGACATATAACATCGACTATGATGAGACTTTTGCACCGGTGACGAAGATGAGTACTGTTCGGACCTTGATCTCTCTGACAGTAAATGGTGGATGGAAGCTATACCAATTAGATGTGAAGAACATACTTCTTCATAGAGATCTAGTGAAAGATGTATACATGGAAATACCACCAGGATTTGATACAGATCAGACAGTAGGTAAGGTCTACAGATTGAAGAAGTCTCTCTACGGGCTGAAGCAGTCTCATCGTGCTTGGTTCGACAGATTCAGGAGGGCTATGATAGGTATGGGGTACCAGCAGATCAACGTCGATCATAGATTCATACAGTGTTTGGTTCGATAGATTCAACGGAGTGGAGACCATATTACCATGTTTACGGTATATGTGGATGATATGATTATTACAGGGGATGATGAGAAGGTGATTGCCCAACTCAAAGTGAGACTGGGTAAGAAATTCGAGGTGAAAGATCTTGACTTGCTTCGATATTTTCTTTGGATAGAGATAGCTCGAGGAGCTGAGGGGATTATCCTCTCCTAAAGAAAATATGCACTGGATCTTCTCAAAGAGATAGGGATGTTAGGGTGCAAACCTGTAACTACACCGATCAATCAAAAGTTCAAGCTGGGTGCTGAGGCTGGAGAACTAGTTGATCGTGACAGATACCAGAGGCTGATGGGCATGTTGATCTATTTGAGTCACACACGTCCCGATATCTCTTTTGCAGTGAGCGTGGTGAGTCGCTACATGTATGATCCGAGGAAGGATCATATGGATGCAGTGTACCAGATTCTGAGGTATTTGAAGAGTGCCCCTGAAAAAGGACTGATATTCAGGAAGAATGAACATGTAAGCATTGAGGATTATTGTGACTCTGATTGGGCTAATTGTGCTGATGACATGAGGTTCACCTCAGGATACTGTATTTTTATAGGAGGCAACTTGATCTCGTGAAAGAGTAAGAAGTAGTCAGTGGTGGCGAGATCGACTGCTGAGGCAGACTATAGAGCTATGACATTGGGAGTTGCGGAGTTGTTGTGACTGAAGAGTATGCTGGTGGAGCTGAAGCTAGATAAAGGAGCCAAGATAAAGTTGTGATGTGACAAGTCAGCCATCAGTATTGCTAACAACCTAGTGCAGCATGATAGAACCAAACACATCGAAATCGATAAGTTCTTCATCAAAGAGAAGTTGGACAGTGGATTACTGGAGTTAAGTCATGTTCTAACTAAGGATCAGGCAGCAGACTGTCTGACTAAGGGACTTAGCTCGGTAAATATGATTAGAGGATGTGACAAGATGGGCTTAGTGGATATCTTTCGCCCATCTCGAGGAGCAGTGTTGACATATTAATAATATGTAGGGGGTTATTTGTAAGTTTGTAAGGGCTTATATAAGCCCAAGAGATTTCAGTAATAGAAGTTGCTTTTCAATAATACATTTTATAATATATTTAGTCATAGATATACATTGGCAACTATCAAGAAAATCAAATAGTCCATTGTTTGATAAAACTGATCCAGATATTTATGACATGGTGGTGACCTAAGATGTTCAATATGACATCTTACTGGGAATGATTATTATGCTATTGCAGTTACTGAAAGTGTACCTTAGTAATGATTTTAAACTAGAAATGTAAAGAACCAATCATATGAAGACAGAAGTTGGTACTTGGTACAGAGGGAAAACACTTTTGAGTATGTCATCTGCATGATGTAGGATAAACGAGCATGAATAATCAACACAGGAGGTGTAGTTTCTTGGCAACAAATATAGCTATGTAAACCTTTATGATACAAGATTGAATTATTGTGTCACCTATTCCATGATTTAAAATAACCAGCTGGTTCACAAGAAGGAACAGAAACGCGAAAAACTAAATACGATAATCTCTGCACGTTGTTGATCCTGAAAGGTTGTGCGCATGTACACTTCACAATTAGCTTGTCATAAGAGCTAGAAGATTAGTTCGACTAATCCATGTTTTTATCTTCAAAATATCAGGATAAAGTGGCTCCAGATTCAATGTATAGATCAAAGTATATTATCCTTTAGTAGCATCTGTCATAGGCACACACAATATAATGCTTAGAAGAACTGCTTCTGTGATATAAGACTTCTGTATGTTGAATTTGGGCCAAACTTATATGTCATGGTTTAAGACAAAGTAAGCGAGCAGAACAAGTTTACAGCAAGATTAACAGTAATTTATATAGTAGAAAGAACAACTCACAATGAACATATCAAATATAGCAAAGAATCAAAGATGAAACATGCGCATATTAAGCAACCAATCAAAATATGACATAAATGTAGTTAAGCAGAAAAAATGAATAATCACAATTAAAGGTAAGCGAAGGATCTTGAATACTATTACTCAGCAAAACAAGAAAGTTTTTTAGATCTGAAAAGATTAGTGATACCTCAGTCTTTGAATCAATCCCATAAATACAGAAAACATTCTTTAATGGAGGTCTATCCCAAGTTGTCAGAGGATTCAACACTGGGTCACCCTGATAAAACCTGACATAAGAAAAATTAGAAAACATTACTTTAGAAGTGAATGGGCCAAAAATTATGTAACTTTTCCATGGAACAGTAAGAAATATTCATTAAAAGATTACTACAGATAAAAAAGAAACTGACATCAAGCAATACACAATATATGACCGTAGGTGTAACTAGCTATGTAAAGAAGATTATGACTCAACAAGTTTTCATATATCCAAAAGAAAACAGATATGACAGCAAGTTCTATAGTTTCATGACTTTAAGTTCTAGGTTATTGACAATCAAACTATGACCAGAACCTTGGCGTTATGTTTATAAATATTCTGGGACTTAAGGTTTACCTAAATTGAATGAGGGGACTTCATTTTAATAAATGAATAGGGTTGATTCTATAAGTCTACCAGATTTTTAAGGGTCACTCTCTTCTTCTTCATATTCATGAGGTGGTGGTGGGTGTAACATATTAGACGATCAGGTTAAATCTAACTCGAAATATCATTTAATCAATAGCTAAAGAATGGAATTCTATAATGCATTCAACAGAAAACAAGAACCAGTTCAGACACTTTTAGTGTGCAATTATATTGAAGGGCATATCATATTTCACCTTTGATTTGGGTTGTTGGGGCACCCAGGGTTGTGCGCGTGTGCCCATGCGCACGCGCGTGTGTGTTTGATGCATTGTTTTAAATATTCCCGACATGGCCTGATATATCCCCGATACATCCTTTAATAGGGTTTACCGCAACCAATATGGTCTCTAAATATCATTTACTATTTTTGGCTATTTTGGGCAATATATCACTGATATGGCCGATATATTAGCTAACATGTGGACTGATATATCTTTTTTAATGGCTTTCCGCAAAACAATATACCTCGCTTGGCAATTTTTGGGCGAGATATCATGATTTTCCCATTATATCAATTAACATTTTGCCCTAAAAAATCAGATGAAATGTTGCAATGTTGACTTGTACTTTCGTTTGTTTTACTTGTGATCCTAAACATATATTATTTACATTTTGTATGATTAGATTCCATTAAGTATGTTGAGATTACATTTTAGTGCATTATGCTATATATGCAAACATCCATTATGACATTCCGACATTTACCACATATCCCCAATATTTCCGCAATATCCACAATCTGATATAAACTTTGGCCATCCAATTTTTCCTCGATATCCGATATTTAAAACCTTGGTTTGGTGTGTGGTGTAGAGAAGGTGATGGCCAAATTTTTCCTCGATATCCGATATTTAAAACCTTGGTTTGGTGTGTGGTGTATAGAAGGTGAAGCAGTCAGAAATTGGTGTGTATTATCATGACTGGTTAATCGGTTTTCCCCTCATGAGATTGACAAAGGGTATCGTTGGAACCTTGAGTTTGTCTTAACAGTGGAAGATAAAATGCTACACTAAAACCCTTATAGCTCAAACAGATTCCCCAAGCCATTATATTACGTATTTCCAATGCCCACTATCCAATGCCCACTATGTTAAGTATGGAAATTATACAATGATAGTGATAGGGTCTTCTGTGGGGCAGTAGAGCACTTAAGGCTTCGTTTGGATACCATGGTGTTTTTCTTATTGTGTTTTTATAAAAAAACACCATGATGTTGTGTTTTTCTCTTAAAATGTTTTCAAAACACCATGTTAAGTATTTTTTATCAACACTAATTTGACACATTATAACAATAATATTAAACATATTATTAATATATTATATATTTTATAATAAAATATATTATAAATAAAATGTTATAATATTTAGTTTACATTATTATAGTATTATGAGTATTAAATATAATACAATATAATATTGTCTAACGTATTATAATATTATATTGTACTTTAAAGAGTTATATTATATTATAACTATTACATATTATTTTTAAATAATTTTATATTTAATTATTGGTATATCAATTTGTTATTTTTGTATATTATATTAATATTTTATAATAATGTTATTTTATTATTAATATAATATTATACTATTATTAATATAATATAATATTATACTATTATTCATATAATATAATATTATTAATAATGTTAATATTATGTTATTAATAGTATCGTCATTATTATATTACAAATATTTTAATATTAATATAATATAATTATAGTTTTTAATATGTTAGAGTTTATTAATAGACCTTTATAATATATTAGTATTTATGATATTAATAAATAGTATTATATTATGAATATATTATTTTTACATAATATTTGTTAGCAATAAAATTATTTTATTATTAAACATTATTTTACTTTATAATAAATTATATTATTTTTTAAATATATATTAATATTTTATATTATATTACATTTACTATACAATATGTTATTATAATAATATTATTATATTGTTATGTTATTATTAAATATGTTACTATTATATAATATTTTATAATTATTAATTTATTACAATTTATTTATTAAAAAGTTAATAATATTATAGGAATTGTATAGTATATTATTATATCATTATTATATTATTATATTATTATTTATTATCAATAACTTTTTTATTATTTTTAATTATTTTATTTATATTTTATTATTATTTATTTATTATATAATACATTATTAACATATTAAAAATTGGTATTTAATACAGTATGGTATAGTATAACATAATAAGCATATTGATAATAACTACATATTAATTACATTTAATATATTATGTTAGATATTATATTAACACATTCTCAAACTCAAAATCAAAACACCAAACTTAAAACACCTAAAAGGTGTTTTGAAATAAGTCTTTTGTTTTTGGTTTGAGGATGATTTAGCTTAAAAACACAATGGTTTCCAAACGCATGGTGTTTTATTTTTGGCAAAAACACCATGAAAACAAGTAAAACACCATAGTATCCAAACAGAGCCTAGTAATAGATTCTACTAGTTACAGCTTGTAACTAGAGCACCATTTTTTTAATGTTTCACAAAGAATCGGCAAGCTAAGAAAGCAAACATCTGCAGGATAGATAGACATGAACTGTTGCCATACAGTCTAGAACACATAAATATGGAATTTTAGCAATCCCTTGGAGAGGAATCTGTCAGCCTCCAGCTTGCAAAATGGGGGAGGAAATAATTGATCTGTATTTATTATTTATTTTATCTATTTTCGGGTGAGGAATACAAAATAATTGATCTGCTAACTTTATATAAGAAAGGAGAAATATACTGTATGCAATAGCCCGTAATAGCATGTACTCAGATTCATGGAACTTATATATGGAAAATGACAATCTTACTTCTCAAGCTGATACAAAATTCTTTTGGTGTCAGGGTCATAATCCTCTATAGCTTTAAAGAAAGTACCATCTGAAACCTCCCTAGCAGAAAAAGACATCTGAATGGGTTTCCCACATTCCATATCAGAGAGAACATCTTGAGCTAGTTCATTTACAGAGGGGTAGGCATCATTAACTGCAAGAAGCTGAACCATTAGGCAGTCTAGTCATAGAATGGCATATCAAACATATTGAAAGACTACAGTATCATAGAAAAGCACCTCGTAAAGAAGGAACCTCAATATTTATAATATTTGTAGGCCATCCAGAGTAATTTGACCGATACTCGATGTCATCACATTGGTGGGCATGATTGTGACTTTTTTGGCCCTCAAAGAAATGCTTCCAGTAAATATTGTTTGCTTTACAGTGTTTCGAGAATGGCATTAACCATAAACCAGAGCCAAACGAGTTGTACATCAGTCGGGCAGTTCCCTGATGAATGGATAGTATTTAGTAAAATTTGCCAAAAGGCCTAGTGGAAGGGGGAAAGTCTGAAACTACATGGCTCTACTGACAACGTTGGAGACTACTACCAGTACTTGCCTCCAAAAGTATGATTGGTTATACTCACATACCCCAAAAGTTAGTTCTGTGTGAGTTTATAGGAAGTCAAGACATGATTAACATAAATTTTTCAAGTAATAAAGTAAGACAAGTGCGAAAAAAAATCACAAAGGGCAACCGGACACATAAATTATTGCACTTGAAAAGGATAGGACTTCTTTTAACAGCCACTGAGAAGATTACCAATGCATCAAGCAAAATCAAAAACATTAAAAATATATCTACCTATACTATAATATACTAATAAAGTTAAAGCCTGGTCGCATAACTTTGTCGCGTGGCAAATTTTCAGACCTTAAATAACCCTCTCATATCAACCAGCCAATCTCCACATCTCGAAAATATCTACTCTTTATCTTTTCAATTTCCTATGAATAGTTTATTTTTTATTCTCTTTCCCAAAAATCCCAAAAATCTTATCTCTCCTCTTTTTTTGAAAAATCCTAATATGCATACATGATACAACGATAAAAGTACTACGTCACATACATCACACAGTCAACTAGTTGTATATATTGGCAGCACAGATGTGGATATTATCAATAATATCGGCTGAATTTAGTAGGTTTTGTAATCGGTTTGGGTCATGTTGAAGATAGTTTTGACCATAAGTTCATACATTCTTTTCATTTGCATATACGCTCAACAGAGACAAGCCCCCCAAACCCTACTCATCTCTAACTTCCTCTGCTCTTATATTTAATTAAATAAACCCCAGATCAGCCCAAATCTCTTGTCCCAGTAGCCTTGCTCTTCGCCGAGCAGTCTTGAGGTAGTGATATCCTCTTAGTGTGTTATCTCCATCTATATCCCTCTCTCTGGCTTTCTCTCTCGGTGTATGCCTCATTTCCTTGCCACCTCCTTTAGTTTTTTACTTCGTTCTCCGTTTGGACCAAAGTTGAATTTCAATTCCAGTCATGGTTCATCGTGTGTATGGATAAGCAGTTTCAATTTGAGGTCTCTTATGACAGTTCTTCAATTATTTTCTTTACTAGATCTTTTGAAAATTCAATGTTTCTACTGGAATTGATCTAATATCAACTTTTTGGAAATAGATTTACTGCTCATCCAATGTTAACTTTCCATGTGCAGGTTCCTCCAGTGGTTTCAAGAGTGTTATACAACAGCCAAACTTCTAGCCGTTGATTCTACAGGGAAACCTTTTTGCAAGTTTAGTATTGTAAAGGAAAGAAGAAAGCTAGCCAGCTCAAGCTAGAAGGTGTGTCCAGGTTTCATTACATCTCAAGCACAAAGATTTTGAGACACGAGAAACTCAGGATAGTATATTCAGAAGATATGCGTTTAAAAAAATGATATAGTCACTCATGTTTCTTTAGATTGGAAAAAAGACAAATTTTCATGTCAAAATGGACCGCATTAGACAACTAAAACCAATTAGACCTAACCAGATATGTTTCATCAGTAAAGGTAGAAGGATAGCTTAGTAATGAGATGATAATATTATGAGTAAATCTAATGCTAAATGGGTTAGGCTCTTAACTAGGACACGAAACAAACATCGATGCACTCACTAGTCACTACATGCATATGCAGCTTTCTGCCAATATTATGAACCATTGACCTTTTCCTTAATAAATTTACGAGTTTTTGCTTTTAAACCCGAAGGTTTAGCCCGACTCATTTCTAAAACCAAGTACTTCTGTCTATACAATAAACCCAAACAACATACATGTCATGTATTGTCTGTCTTTCCGAGCCGGCTTAGTAAATAAATGGAATCAATACTCGACCTTCGCAGTGACAACCTTGATTGGAAAAAGCACACTTGCCTTTAAACCCAAAACCAACTAATACATGACATGTATGATCTATATTTTGTATTTAAAGATAGTAAAACTCCAAAAATACCCCTAAGACTACCCCACCCTGCTCTAATCTCTATTCTTTGTAAGAGAAGAGCAAGGAGCTTGAGACCACTGTTAAATTCACTCACATTCATTTATGTTGATCCCTAAAAACTACAGAAATTTCTCCAAAAACTACAGAAATTTCTCCAAAATCTTATCTCTAAAAACTACAGAAATTCCTCTGAAATCTTCGCTGGAAAGTGATCCCAGAATCACCTTTAAAGGCAACGACCCAAAATTGATCCCAACTTGTTTGTAAGAACTTCCAGATCGAGCTTGAAGTTCGTGGGGCGTTGGTGGTCGATCTCGATATTTGAGATAAAAACTTTCTTTTTTTGGTCTAGTTTGAGATCTTCGCGTAAAGTTTTAGCTTACTAAAGGATAATGTTTTACGTCGAAGTTTTTAGGATCCTTTCCTTATTTATAATTTATTTGTTGTATTGTAGTTTACTTCTTCATGTTAACATTTCCTTACTGTGAGCGAGAAAGGTAGCGGCAAGCAGCAGCGGTGCGGGAGCAGACCACGTGCGGGAGCACGCCGAGTTCAGCGGGCCCACCCGAGATACATGTGCAGCAGCGGGCCCACCCGAGATACGTGTGCAGCGGTTTTCTTTCTTGGACGATTTCTGGCCCGTGAATCTCCTATAAAGACCCGATGATTTCCTAGGGTTTGAAAAACAGAGGGTTAGTCGGCTGTTTTGAGGAGTTTATTCAGGAGGCTTTAGATCTGAGAAGAGAGGAATTGAGAGATTTTGAGGAGAAAAGAAAAGAGAGAGCTTGTGGGTTGTACAAGTTGGCATTCTCCTCATAGTGAAATCTCTCTTTCCCCCTCCCATGGACGTAAACAAGTTTGTCAAACCACGTAAATCTCGTGTCTTTACTGTTTCTGTGTGTTGGCTATTGCTTGTTGGTTCCTGTTGAAATATTAATACATTTAGGGGGTTATTTGTAAGTTGTAGGGGCCTATATAAACCCATGTTATCTCAGCAATAAGATTAGGGTTTTATCTTTTTCTTCATGGTATCAGAGCCTCCACCCAAACCCTAGCCGCCGCCACCCCCGCAAAGCTAGCCGTGCCGGGCCCGGGCCCTCTACTACCCTCTCCGACTACTACAACCCCCTCCGCTGCCCCTCGGAGCACCCTTCAGACCCCCCCTCGGTCCCCGCAACCCCCCCCCCCCCCGCAGCCCCTCAGAGCACGCCCATCGTTCCGCCCCTCGCAACCACCGTCGGTATCTCCGCAGCCGTGCAACCCCATCCCCCCCGCCCCCGCCCCGCAGCCCCCGTCTCGACCCGCACAATCAAGCTTCTCTGTTGTAGCTTGTTGGATACCCTCAACATCTCAGTCATAGAACTGATGAGAGGATGTGTAGCTTGTTCGATTCCCTCGATATTTCAGTCCTATAACTGATGAGAGGAAGAGTATATATCTCACGGTGTTGAGATATATCACTGTCGATTCTTGTTTCCTTTGAGAAACAAGAATTTAGTTGAGATCTTACTCTTGTTGTGCAGCAGAAATGCTGCCGAATTTTTCACTGCGCACAACAAGAGAAGGAGAACAGGTAGTTGATCTAAAGCCTGATCGATGGAGGAGATCATCAAGAAGTTGAACCCCGCGGAAGTCTCAACTTTGATGCAGTTGATGAAGTTGTCGGCCGGTGAGATTGCGACAAGGCCACCGAAAAAGTTGGAGCTTTCACCCATCGATCTGAAGCTTGATGGACCAGCTACTTACCTAAGTTGGTCACGACGGGTAAGATACACCATTGTAGGAAGGAACCTGGAGGGGTACTTGACAGGAGAGACGACAGAGCCGACTGAAGGCTCAGCTGGAAGAGATGAGTGGAAATCCACTCATATGTTGGTGTACATCTGGCTCCTTAACTCATTGGTTCAGTCGATCGCCGCCACAGTAGATGGCATCAGGAAGGTGATGGATGTCTGGGAGAAGTTAAGGAGGACGTATGATGAGGTGGGAAACAACCTAAGGGTGTTCCAGATCAAGGAAGAAATCGACGCCACAGTTTAGGGGGAGAAGACTGTCCAGGGATATGCCACAGAACTGGAGCGCCTGTGGATAGATTATGATCACTTCTCACCTTGGGCCAGCTACAAGGACCCGGAGTGTAAGGAGCGAGAGGCCTTTCTACAAGAGAGGACTATGGTGTTTCTCAAGGGGCTGGCATCAGAGTTTGCTCAGAGGACTGCATTGCTACTAGCTCAGTCAAAGATTCCCACACTTGAGGAGGCAGTCTCGGCCATGATTCAGGAGAAGACTCGTATTAAGCTACAGGAAGGGACAGGTGGACTACCGGTAGTGAAGTCAGCACTGACAGCTTCTAACTCTGATAATACTGGATCCAATGGGGAGACTCGGCAGTGCTATAACTGCGGTGAAGTGGGTCATTTAAGGCATGCTTGCACCAATCCACCTAAGGAAGGAGATTCGGGTGGACGTGGACAATTCGAAGGTCGTGGTTGTGGCCGTGAGGGTCGACGAGGTGGAAGGGGAGGAGGACACCGAGCGAATCTGATGATAGCAGAGGGAGAGGAAGCAGCTAAAGTGATCTTTACCGAGGAGGATCATGCGCTCCTGGAGATACTCAGGAGGAAGTAAAGAGTAGCAGGAGATGGAGACAGGAGGAGTGGGACTGAGGAGGCATCCACTTCGTTCTTTGATAGAGACAACACTGTTACTTATGCTCATCCGACCAAAGGTACTGATGACATACATGCTCTTACTTCGATGTCCCCCGATAGATCATTAGATTGGATAGTCGACTCCGGTGCGTCTCGACACGTGATAGGTAATGCTAGTGAGTTCTCATCATATACTCACCTAGCATCGGCTGATAGTATCCAAACAGCTGATGGTACATTTTAGTCAGTGGTTGGTAAGGGTACTGTCACTTGTACAGATTCTGTAACTTTGTCCAATGTTTTGCATGCCCCCTCTTTTCCAGTCAATCTTTTGTTCATTAGTGCTATCATACTCTA